GTATCTGTTTCCTAGGTTTAGCCTTTACAGTAGTACTGTTGAAGATCTGTGTTACCTCTTTACTCAGGTCTTCCCAAGTGGGTTTCGGTTATCTTAGTTCATGGATTTACATAACCACAAATGCCCTATGACCTGCCAGATATCTAATGTGACCATGTTACAGGTACTGATCCCAACTGATCGATAGATAACTGTTGCCATATTACCGATTTTAAGAACTTATCTTGTGTTTGCACCACCCAATGCCAGTTTGCATTCCTCTGTATAACTCCAATATTGCACAGATGCCCGTATACATCGATGTAACATAGGTGGTTTTCCAAATTTTCACCGTTAGTGGGTTTTGAACTTCCTATCTACCACTTGGAGGATTGACAACTTATCTACTTCACTAAGTCGCCACACTCTTTAATACTTTAATCTTTATATTACATTTGACAGATAATACACAAGTTTTTGTATATCTAAGTGTCATTTAACCTAATATTGACATTTTTTTATATATATCTATTAAGCTATTATATATTTCAGAATATATCACTTAATTGTAAGGCTTTAGAGACCCTTCTATTAACTAGTTTACTTATTTTTTATAGAAAATTAATAAGATTTTGCTCTTATAATATTTATCCAAACCTTTGTATATATTTATTTTTAGATTTAGTCTTTACAGTAATACTTTCAAAAATCTGTATTATTTTTTATTTGAATCTTTTTAAATAAACTTTAGTTTTCTTTAATTTTACAAATTTACATAATCACAAAAACTTATCTTAGGTTTACACTGTCCAGTACTAATTTGCATCTTTTCGTATAATCAAGATTACACAGATGCCTCTTGATTTGTCAGTTATGCTAATATGATTGTAGTTACAAGGTATCTTATTCCAACTGATTAGCAAGTTACCACATCTTGTAGAGTTTTTATAAATTTAATTTTGCAACCCTGGTAATATGTTAAAAAATAAAAATTTGAGGAATTGTTTAAAGCCAGGTGCGTTTGGTATAAATTTGGAACTGATCTACATTCTGCATAATTACTTTCTTGATATCTATATAAACTATTAACCCAAAATGCATCAAAAAGGTAACCCTAACTACATCCAAAAAGTAACTCTAACGCACCTTGCTTTAATCGTCCCCAAATTCGGGTAATTTTGCAACCCTGGTAAGTCGACCAATCAAAAATATAAGATGCATAGTCACGTGCGTACACGGAATTTTGGCAATGATAACGATAAATTAGATAAATTGATCGAAACCGCCTTTTAAAACGGTTAAGTCTTATAATGAGTGGGCCTAGAAATCGGTATGGCAGACGATCTTCTCATCGCCAGTATCAAACACAATCTCACGCACCATCGCATAATAATTTAGAAGCCAGAGGCAATTGTAATTTTCTTTAATGGTTCCCTATTACGCGAAAAAGATTGCTTGCATTTTCTAATGCTATTATTCAATATAGTTGAATCTGTTAAAATTTCTCGCGTAAACTTACTGCTTTCTCGTATTCGAGACGAAAATGAACCAGTATACACCAGACGTTTGTCATATGTTAACCAACTAGTTGTCATACTGAATGAACCATGCACTCCATGGGAAAAATCGCAAATTTTTGAAGCAGTAACTCGTGGTGCGGGTTTCGAAGCAATCTTCGAAGATCCTCGGTAAATCCTTTAAAATTAATCGATTCAGTTAATGGATTCAATTTTGCTATTCTATGAGGTATTGATCTGCATATTTGTGTGTAGTGCACCTACAAATTTTAAAACAGCAGTAGCAAAATGTCTTGCTCAAACCGCTCTGATAATGAACAATGAAATAAGCAGCTATTTTCGCTGGGTATTTGAAAGATTGCAGGCTTCAGATAGTAGTTCTAAGGAAAAAGAGAAAGAACGCAAGCTTTGGTTATTGACTTCTCTACGAGAGGTAAACCGATAAATAGCATGTGAATTACAATTTTAAATATAATTAAAATTGCTCAAATGAAAATGTATAGGTTTTTACACGTAACCAACTTACTCCAAGTTCTCAAACTGTATCAAATTCTGGACCTTTTCAACAGTTCATTCCTAATGTTCTTCATGATTTGGAAAGTTTGCTAGACTCAATGGATAGTTCAGATTGCTTTCCAGGAATATTAGAGGTGTTAGAAAAAATAGCAGAGCGATATCCCGCTGAATTTAGTGAACGGTTTCAGGTATTTCAAGGAATTAGTAGGTGCTTGTCCACATTTTTCAAGGTTATTTAACATAACTGATTAAATTTGTAGGATATAATTGATCTATTGGTGGGGTGGTATATAGATGTATCAGTATCTGATTCGCTTCATTCCCTTATATCTGGTATTTAGTGCCGTCTTATTTTAGGATTATGCCCATATTTTTATTATTTGCCTTTTGATTTTTCTACAATTGCAACTCAATATTTACAGATACTTTCAGAAGATTACGCTCTTTTTGGGCAAAAAACTTGAAATTTGCTTATGAGTTATTGAGTCATTTTCTAGCAGACATGGAAGTGCTTTCAGGCGTGACGGTATCTCAAGAAGGACCTCAGATCGATGATAGAGCCAAAAGCGAGGGTGAAACTATGCCAACTAATTTGAAGGCACTGTTAAGGTAATGTCCAAAATTACCTATATTTAATAACGTCATAAACAATAAATTTGGGTTTATTTTATTTTATTTTATGTTTTTTAGCTGCTTTCAAGCTGTTGCTGATGCAGTTGGCCCAATTTTGCAGCAAACTTCTTCGGTAGAAGTTAACAATGTGGTTGACACAGAAAATGCGCATCCCTTTGACCAACTGCGAGCCTGGATTATTAAGTTCATATTTGTTATAGCTGAGCTATATATGGATACTGGATGGTTTGAAAAAGGTACATTTACAAATAAAATTTATAGCTATTATAAATATAAATTTGGCTCAAATTCTGCCTTTTTTTTTTTTTAAGGGAGCCAGATAATTTTAACTATGAGCTCTTCGAGAAAGGCATCATTTGTACAGCATCAAGTTCAGTCGACAAAATTTTTGTTACTACAAATTCAAAATGGTCTTCAAAAAGGATTAATTGATTTTGTAGTAGATGATTGGTTTGACTGCTTCCTTCAGGTAAATTATCGTTGATGTAATATTTATTGTTTTGATCACCTTATATTTAATCTGAATGTGGTGTATTTCCGTTATGTCATTCTTAATATTGATTTATATAGATTCTCTCTCAGTGGGTTCCTCATGTTCATCCTGATATCATAATCATATTGGCGAATCCAAATTCTTCACTGATGAAACTTCGCTTATATCATCCGCATTTCGCTCGGCTGCATTCGGACATTTTAGACATGTTCCGTATACTTCTTAAGAATCAAGGTCTTAACTTTATTTCATCAGAAGATAAAATATTTCTTATTCAACAGATTACTATTGAAATTGGTCAAATGATTTCTTTCATACTTTCTTTAAATAATCCCAAAATTGACATGGAATCATCATTAAAGAGTAACGTAATGATTAATACTGTTAATGAAGAACATATTTCTGATCTCTTTCCTGAAGGCCTGCAGTCTCTTTTTAATTTCACTAATTTGCCTACAAGTACACATATATTGAATGATAGAACAGCAACATTTGTAATTGTTTTTGATATTGAACTCATTATACAACTTGTGCCTGTATTGGGGCATGCTAAAGAAATCTTTTGGATTGTTTACTTTATATTTAACAAAGTCAGGGGATGTGGTTATTTTGATGGTATATTAATGTGTTCTTTGATTAATGCTCTTAGACATGCATGTAAAAGGTATTTAAAGGCTGGTTTTTTTCAAATGAATTCATTTTTATAGTTTTATAGTAATAGTAATTTGTTTTCAACATTATCTAGAAAGCATTATTTTATATCGGAAGTAGAAGAGAGGCAACAACCCGAATCTTCATTTTTTGCAATGATTTTTCTCATTAATTCGTTATTGCAGAATCAGCTTGAACTATCATTCAATGTTTTTACATTGATTATTGAATGGGTTAGAGATATTTTGGAATTTTGTAACGCTCATGAATTTACGTCAACTGATACAAAAGATCATATTCGTCAAGAACTTGAGTGTGTTATTTGCACTCTGATTGATGTATCTAGTAAGTTACGAAAATTCAACGAATACAATTAATTAGTTGAAAATATTTATTTAATTGTATAACTTCAGGATCTGTCAAAAATAACAACATCCGTATACAAATACCTAAGGTTATACATGATTATTTTGATGTTTTTGGATCACTAAGCATTAGTCAAAAGGCATTTTCTAAGATTATCCAAAGGTACAGATGTCATTACATTATGTTTATTCACCAACGGGGTTCCTGTTTATGATGTCCAACCTTCTCTTAATTCAGGATTAATGACGTAGACCTTAGAGTACAATCTGGGTATTCCAAGTTGATTTATAGAATAAATCCTTTTTTTGCAACTTTTTTGCATGACGATTTAGAGGATCAGTTAGTGATGAAATTCAAAGTACTCGCCGCTATTTAAGATTCAAAGTATCTATAAATGCTTATTAAAATTAACTAGGAAATATTTCTGCGCAGGCAAATGTGTGCATGGCACCGAATTTAGGCAGTTTCAGGTCACCTCATTTCCAAATCGTAATGAACCATTTGGGAATGAAAGAGTTATTAACCGGACAAGATGAAACTGATAACGTTGCATATGATCCATGCGAAAAAGGGCAATGGCGCCTGCGATTGTTCCTTTCGTGCCAATCTAATGATTTATTCAATATACAAGATGTTACAGAGGACAACAATCTCAAACATGGTAATTAACACGATCATACTATACGGATACATTTTACGTTTTTTATATGTAAGTTAAATGATTTATTTGTCTTTAGTTCATTCAGAAGATGAGGTTGTTTATGCTGTTGTGAATTCCAACGACTTGCTTACATTTTGGACACTTTGGGAGGTCGCTCGTTATTGCGTACTCTCAAGGTTACGGACGCCGTTCGGAGGACCAAAGCAGGTAAGTGTTTAACAAATGCCACTAAGGGTTTCGCACTACAATATTTATTTATCAATTGTATATTTTATTTTTTGCATTAGACATTTGACGCTTTTGAAAAGAGATTAAATGATTTGTTAGCAGATGACCTTTCAATTTCTATAAAAAATGAATTTGATGATGATAATTTACATTATAGGTAATTAAGAATAATATGCCTATTAAATACGTTGACTTTGTTTGGTATTTAATCCTGAATTTTAATAATTACGGAAAGTATGATCAATCGTTATCAATTACGAGACTTAATCAATTTGTTTGATCGCTTGGAACTTCAAATATATAACGCTACTGTTGGGACTTCACTTGGAAATTTACCACAAGCACCACGTGCCAGTATTGTTTTCTTCAGAACAAATCGTAAAGTCTGTGATGATTGGTTTTCCCGTATTAGAACAGGAATTATTAAAGGGGCTAAAATCATTGGAGACGATGCTCTGGCCGTAATGCACAGTTTTCGGGTATTTTGTATACTAGTTATTGTTTGTTGATATAGTTTGCTAGTATTTCGACTTTTTAACAAATTTGAATTTAACATTAATTTGCAGGCACTTGCACAACGAGTAGCTTCTCTAAAACAAGGACTGGTTACCAGTGAAAATATTTGGTTGACAGACTTTCAACAAATTCTGAGCGATGTCGGTAAGACACTAATGCATTGTGTTAGATAAAGATTATCCCATAATAAAAGTTATTTTGGTTCGTAATACAAACACATTTATCATAATTATTCCACCTGTTGCAACACTAGTTGAATGTCTACAAAGATTACATGCTGAAGATAGTATTATTGGGCTTTTAGCATGGTCTCGACGTATCTGTTCAAGTAACGAAAATAAAGTGGGTTTACCAGATCACACTAATGAATTTACTGCGGGTGAAAACATTGAACCGGTCAACTCTACACAAAGTTCGTCTAATTTTGCGTTATTCTAACCATAAATTAGAAAATAAATTACTCAACATATTACTAATTATATTGTTGAAATTTTCAAAAAAAAGTGTCTCAGCGTAATCTAACGCATAAACCTATTTCGAATCAGACAAATTTTGATTGGATGAATGGCTCTCATTTGTTCGCGGAATCTAGATATGAACTTGCTGCAAGTGAAGCGATTGATTCTTTTGACTGCCTTCTTGATGTTGATTCTGAAATACAAACAATTTTTCCACAAGCTCGATTTTTGAGCTCTCAAGTAAGCAAAGTCTTATTGGCATATAACTTTGAATTTAAGCAACCAAATAGACGAAACTTTCATACGCTAAAATTAAAGGTTTGTTCTTGAGTGAGGACAAATTAACCTTAATTCATAAGAATGCATGTTAAAGTTTTGATACACAGGGAGGTGCTGCTTAAATTCAGCTATATTGTATATATTTTATTAACATGGCCGATGTGTTCTTATAAACTTAATGGATTATAGATAATTGATAGCTATTGTATGATGCAAGATTTGCCTTCATTAGCACAATGGGTTCATGAACATGATGAAGCAGAAATAATTGTAGACCCTTTGTTAAAGATAAATCAAGATTATTTAACGGCACTTGCAAAATACCACGACGGTGACTACTTGGACGCATGGAAGCTTATCGATAATGTTCCACTGCAAATATCACAAAAATATCTCAATTATCGTGGTGCCAACTTTATCCCAATATTATGTCTTTTCCGTGAGAAGCTCTTTAATTTAGCAAATGAAAGTCCTGCTTCTGGGACATTGAATCAGCAAACAACTCTTTGTGTTTTAGAGAACATTGTTAAGCAATCGTTTACGGACTCCTTGATGAACACCATCCCTCTATTATTAAGGTCAATTACAATGAAGTCAGAGGCTCAACAACTTCATCATTTCTTATCTGAATTTGTGGAATACATAAATCGCAATCAAAATTTTTCGTTTAGCGATACATTTTTTATTGATTTATCTGTGTGGAGCCCATTAAATACAGCTGTTGACCAATTACTTTCGAATCCAGAATCTGACGCATTAAAAGAAGTTAATATCTTCAAACTTATAATGGCCAAAATTGCTAGAAAAAGTTCTGCTTTAAATTATGCAGCTCATATCTTTCATCATTGGAAGGAAGACACTCCTGTGGAAGTTGTATTTGAACATTCTAAAATGTTATTTGCCCAAGGATTACATCAAGAAGCCATTATCCGTGTATGTTCACTTTTGCGCGATGAGCAACATCCATCCTTCTCATTCTCTAAGATTCTAATTTTCCGACAAAACGTGCTTTTAAAGTTGGCAAAATGGTTACAACGTACAGAGTCTCAAGTAGACAGTGAGACTTTGTCTGATTTAAATCTTATTCTTGGAAAGGATATTAACAGCCAAGATCTGGATGAAAAAAATTTAGAACCTAATTTAATAAATGGTAATCTAGTGGAAGCATGCTTATTTAATGCGATTAATGGAGAAAGCTCTACTGCGAAGGCTTGGTTTGCCTATGCTTCATATCACTATCAGCATGGCCGACAAATAGTTGATGAATTAGGCAGTTACAAGTTATCTATTAACTTATTGAGCACTATTAGCAGGAAATTTCAGCAAGTTTTAATTAATGACTGGAAAATTTCAAATGGCGATAATCTTACGGATTGTGATGTGATAATAAGAGTATTTATTGTTATTTTTTTTTCAGTATTTTCATGACCATAGTGCAAGTACATGATATTGCATTATTTTTCATTTAATTAAATATAGAACATATTTCGCATGTTTTTACGTAAAGTCAGTTCTCTATCAAGGTTGGACCAAGGCGGTGATAATGTGTTAGATTTCAATGCAATCCTTCCTTGGATTTCACAAAATTCAATCGATGAGATTACAAGTTCATTAAATAAAATACAGAAGGTGCTCTTAATTGCTTATAAATCTGCTGTTGATGGTTATTTCCGATTCTTACAGTCTGCGCATGGAAGGAATAATGATCAAAATACTCAAGAGGTAACTTAGATGATTTATTGAAATCGCTAACACAATACATATTAAAAATTTTATTTTTATAGTATCTTCGCGTAGAACGTATTGAGGAGTCTGATATAACAACCGCAACACTAAGGATTTTAAGATTACTAGTGAAACATGGACCACTTTTTGAAGAATCGTTTGTCGAAGGATTTAATAATACTAATATTCGTTCTTGGGAAAATATAACGCCACAATTGTTTTCGCGACTGGATCATCCAGAACCTTTTGTTCAACAGCAGCTTTGTAAACTTTTATGTTCAATTGCTTCCGTTTCGCCACAGCTCGTTGTATATCACACTGTTGTTGCCTCAAATTCCAGTGGCGCTAGCGACCTAAATAAGCAACTGCTCAAAAGAATTGTTGACAGTCTTGATAATTCTAATGGAACATTGATCATAGAAATTCGGCATGTGATTGAAGAATTACAACGCATTACGGTTTTGTGGGAAGAACTTTGGCTCAATAAAATAAGTGGTTTACAACTTGATGTCAACAGACGATTTCACAAATTCGAACGTGAATTCGAGAGAATAAATGATAATCTTAACCTTTCTTCTGAACAACGTAACAAAATTATGAAAGAAAGTTACGATGCTATTATGAAGCCAATTATCTTATCTATCGATCGATTATACAATAGTACTATTGCTGCTGCTTCAACACACCATGAGAAATGGTTTTGTCGGACATTTGGTAATCGTATTCACGAAGCTTTGGAAACTCTACGTACTCCATTTTCATGGGAATCATATAAAACGGGTTGGGATCTTTTGCGCAATGTATGTAAATTGCTATAACGATCTTGAAATTACCTGTTTTACTTATCTGAACTCATTTAAAATTTTTATAAAGGTTCACAAAGATTTAACAAAGGAATTAATGTCAAATCGTTCATTAAAGTTAGTTGATGTTAGTCCATTTTTGGCAACAATAAAATCTTCTGCAATTGCCATGCCAGGCTTACCATATCATATGGATACAGTGACAATTCAATCATTTGATGAAAATTTTATTATTCTACCCACAAAAACTAAGCCCAAAAAATTGGTTCTTCTTGGGTCTGACGGACGACAATATGGTTACCTTTTCAAAGGCCATGAAGACCTACATCTCGACGAACGAATTATGCAATTATTACAAATTACTAACGATTTGCTCAAGCGGGATAAGCAAACGAGCGCTCGGAGTTTACGTGCACGTAATTATGCTGTCATTCCTTTGGGAAACCATTCGGGAATGATTCAGTGGGTAGAGAACGCTACTCAAATATTTGTACTTTACAAAAAGTGGCAACATCGTGAACATTTTGCTAAGGTATTACAAAACAATACTGATGAATCAGTTGGAAACCCGCAGCGGCCTAGCGACATGTATTTTGAAAAGATTGGAAAGGCTCTAAAAAAAGAAGGTTGGACTGCTTCCACTTCGAGGCGCAATTGGCCTCACTCTGTTCTCAAATCAGTGTTTCTTGAATTAGTATCAGAAACTCCTTCAGATCTACTTGAAAAGGAGGTCTGGGCATCTTGCTCAAGTCCAAAAGAATGGTGGATGAAGAGCACTTCTTTGTCGCGTTCGCTTGCAGTCATGTCCGTTATCGGCTACATTATTGGTCTTGGAGACCGTCATTTAGATAATATCTTGATAGACTTTGAATGTGGAGAAGTTATTCATATTGATTATAACGTATGCTTTGAAAAAGGAAAGAAACTTCGAGTCCCTGAGACAATCCCTTTTCGCCTTACACAAAACATTGAAACTGTACTTGGCGTTACTGGAGTTGAAGGTGTCTTTAGAATCGCGTGCGAAAATGTCCTTAGGGTGTTGCGGGAAAATAAAGAAATACTAATTACATTACTCGAAGCATTTGTATACGATCCGTTAGTTGATTGGCATCAAGATGTATCCGAAGACCGCGAAAAGCAAATTATGGAAATTGAAGAAAATATAGGACTGTTAATTTCGAGAATTGGTAACGATTTTTTTTTTAAAAAAATTTGTGAGTTTCTATAGATAACAAAATTATATAATTAATGCATGCACTCTTAGCCGAGCTTAGGATTCCCATTGAGAATAACCAAGGACATCTTTCGAATTTATTATCCGAATTTCTCTCAGTTTTCAAGCATATATGCGAACATTACATGAATTTATATAATCAGCAAGTGGATTTATCTGAGCAACCGAGTCAAAGTAATAATATTGAGGTTGGGGAATCAGCGTTCATTCACAGCCAAATTGAATTAGAAAGTCTAAAATCTGCACTCTCACAAAGAGCTAATGAATGTGCGCTGTGGCATGCGCAACATGAGAAAACTATACAGTCTATTCAAGGACCTACTCTTCAAATTATTTATAATGAAATTTTTTCTTCAAGTTCGCAAATAGGCGCATCTATTTTTACCCCATTTTTGCAAATTCTTGCCACAAATGAGTTCATGCTCCAAAGGTGCAGCAAAATTGAGCAAGACTTTGTGAGTTGGATGAATGAGCGTAACACAGCTTTTAAAAATTGCCTTGAACGTTTGCAATTTTACAGGACTTTAGTAGTTCCTTTAGTTCCTGTTTTGATGATGCAGGATTATTATTCAAAATGGCCTCAATTATTGATCTCTTTACTAGAATCGTCATTTTCAAGTCAAGACTTCCAGGCCCTATATCAAAACTCTAGTTTGCCGATTGTTTCCGGTAACGCGTTGAATCATATTCGCGATGATCTTAAAATATCTTATGCAAATGCTGTACAAGAAAGCATATCTCTTTCCGAAGCATTAGTTTTGGCTACAGACAAAACTGCCCTAAGTGAATCAACACTACACACTATGTTGAACAATATGCTCGATGAAGAAAATTCTACAAACTTGAATTCACGCCTTTTGTGCTTAGCGAGTGTTCTGTCTTCACTACGTGAGCTTTACCAGTTCTCTAGGGAATCAAATGACATATCTGATGTATTCAGCCATGTCGGGTTTAGCGTTGATTTTCAGACTGTTGTTAAAGAAACTTTATCAAATGAAACTCTTGATAAATCGTCATTTTTAACTTATTTAATCATTTTGTTATCCATTTATCATCACATTCAAATTATAAAAAGTAAGTTATTTGCCTTTTTTTTACCTTTTATAGTTTTTACAATATAAATGGTTAATTAATATATATATTTGTTAGTGAAAATTACTGATGATGAAATACTTGGTCGGACATTGGCTATTTCCACTGAACTTTTACAATCAGTTCGAATAATTCTTAGCTTACAACATAATTTCGTGAATATTATATTACCTAAAATATTTCTTTTAATACATGGTTCATCGAAAGCTTTTGAACCTTTTGCCGAAGTATTACGTAATCTATCTACAGATACGTTCAATTATTGGGGAATGAAGCATCCAGAGTCTCATTATGCAGTGAATTCCATGGTAATCTATTAATACTTCTTTTATAAGCATATTCTTAATGTCTTAAATTTATAATCGTTATATTATATGTAGAATGAAACATTTAAACAACTCGGTGAACTTGCGTATAGAGAAGGAATTTCGCAAGCTGTTCATTTGTTGATTATCGAGTTCGATGAGCTATTTAATGGTTTGAGGGATACGTTGCTCAAAATTCAAGTAAGCTTGATTTTAATTTTAATTAAAAGGCATGTGCGTACCGATTAGAACTAGATCATATCTTAAATTAATTTGAACTAGATTCTTCTTAAAGAGCTAAAGGAACACAGTTTACCTAAAGATGGTCAAGAAAATCTAATTGAAGATTGCCTTATTGATAATTATACTGTTCATAAGCTTAATGTGAGTTTGAATTTGAATTCATTAATAATTTCATGTTTAGATTCACATTGATTTGTCCATCCCAGGTTATAGTTTGTGTTTTGCTGGCATGTGAAGATTATTATAAAGAAAATTTCCAACCTCATCTAAGTACTGTCTGGGTGTCATCAATGGCTATGGCTGACGCTTTTAAGAATGGTTCTGACTCACTCACTAGGCTTTGGCAAGTCTCGCGTTGGTGGATCTCGGAACTTTTCATTCCATGTGTAAAAACTCTATACACGATCGCAATTGACCATATAGGTTCTTTATTCAGAACAGACAATGAAGACATCGGCCTAACACTTGATAGTTCATCACATATAAATAATCTTATTTCACAAGGACTGATATCTAATGATGATATCAACGCTCAAAAACTTAAAGTCAAACAGTATTCTTTCCACGGCTGCAAAGTGAATTTTATCACAATGGTAGGAAGTTTTTCATACAAATGCATTTTTTATCTCATTTATTTATTATTATTTTTGCAAATTTGCAAGATAAATCTGCGAAAAACTCAAATAGAAATAGTGCTTCAACATCGTCAAATGGAACTAATGCGCTTTGAATGGATTAACGAAGCACTAATAGGTGACAACAGTTTAATCCGCCAACAGGTAATTATTTGTTTTATTTTTGTAAAACGTATATTAATGTCGTAATAACTGGCATGGGCGTTATTTTGAAAATCAGTTCCTTTAAAAATAGATATTTGATTTCAAAATAACCCTCGTGGTGTCTTTAAATAACGTGCACCTCATATAATATATCAACGGATTATATATTGTAATAAATAGGCTCAAAACATGAGCCTTTTTTTCAAAATAATGCTTAAAATAGCTCGCAGGTGCCCACTATTTGAGTTATTACGATATATATGTTTACATCCATAATCTGATCTTAATTTTGTTTTCAAATTAAGTTCCTGCAAAACTTGACCCAAGACGTGAATCGATTTGTTTTGATGGAAAACCTTTTGCAAGAATTGGTCTCTCAATACAGGGTTATTAACGCAGAAATTGTAGATTTCATTGCTACTCAGATTGTTAATGAAAATACAGGGGAATTATTACGTTCATTCGGTGATGCAGTAGCAAATCAGCAAATGATTTTTGCTCAAGAATTTGAAAGGGTAAAGTGCTCAATATTCTAAGGTTTTTTTTTTTTTTTTTTTTTTGCAGACCAAAGTTCTAAGCGAAAAAATTTACTTATACAGATGAAACATGTCGTTAGCTTATGTAATTCAATATTGCATTTGGAATCCTTCCGTACAGTAACAGACAAAACTGTAGCAATGGATGCAGATACTCTTCAACTAGTTAAAAGGCTAGAGTCAGCGGTACAAGGGTAAGTGCAATATTATAAACGCCATCATAAGTTTGAGCCATTAAAGCATTTCAAACTTTTAGAAGCTCCAAGTTGAGCACTATTGGCACACAATTGGATATCACGCAGCAACTCTCGACATTAAAGGTAAATGGTGTCTCAAATTCAGACAATATCCAATTACATGCTTTTATTCACCAGCATAATTATAAACTCTAGATTGATGAATCCCTTGATATGGATTTACTCAGAAACCTTGAAAACATTGCTAAAGACCTTCGGACAGTAGTGGAAGAAGTTCGTAATTTAATGAGCGAATTATTTCCTCTTATTGAACCTATAGCAAATTTTGAAATGGATGCAACAGATGACAGTGGCAAAGATGCACGTTTAAAAGCGAAGGTAGCTTGTAATTGTTAAAATTTTTTATTAATATGAAAGACTAAATTAATTTGGACTTCATTAGGAATTTGTGCGCGAGTGGTCAAAGTTTGACTCTGATTTTGATGCAGTTATTAATGGTGCTCTTGCAGTTGTTGATAGGCGGTTCCATCAAAAAAATAATTTTTCAGAATTGGAATACACAGTAATGGTTGAAAACCTTCACCGTGACAATGTAAACTGCCGTTTCTTTAGTTCCAGTGTTTTGATATGCTTTGTCCCAAATCTAATAATCTTGTGTTACTGATTATTAGGAACGAGCTATATCATATCTAACCGAGACTATTATCAGAGTTTTTGAAAACCTATTTGCTTTAGGCGAAGTATCTGGAACTATTATTCAAAACGAATCATCTCAGAAAATATCCCCTGAAAACATTGATAGTAAGAATTCTACTGGTGATTTTGCTCAAGTAGACACCGGAACGGAGGATATACAGATATTTAATCCTTTAGAAGCAGATAATAAAAGGAACGATTCAGAAATTGAGGAATTTGGACAAAATGAATCATATCATAACCCTGTTTCATCACCCTTTAATGATAAAATGAATGATCCCTCAAAAAATACTATCGCTGGACAGGTTTTATTACCAAGTAACGAAGAGACCGTGGAAAGCTGGGATGTCCCTATGCAACAAGGTATGACTTTTAAAAACAAAATAAATTTTTTATTTAATACGTGCTTCATAATTATAATTGCAATTTATTCATTATATGCATCAGCTCAAGCACGGAATGCTTTTGCAGTTGGAATAATCCGACGGATCAAGGCGAAGTTGGAGGGAAAAGATTTTGAATCTACGACCAAAATGACTGTTCAGGAACAGATTGATAAAATTATTCAGCAATCACTCGACACGGACAATTTATGTGTGATGTATGAAGGATGGACGCCTTGGATTTAATAATTTAGGAAAATAAATTAAATAATCAAAATATTATATTATTAATTAAACTATAATATTGTATTAGCTGTTAAGAATAAATAATGGCATATGGATCTCCCACTGATGAATTTACAAATCAAGTCATTTTACTTGTGCAAACTCATAATGTAGGATATTCTCCACGTGTTTGGATTATTGGGCCTGATTTCCAATGGCCTATTTGAATCGACGAGTGATGCCTAAATCTTATATGCTATCTCCATGAGCTTTCAATGTTCTAATATTATGCGGATTAATATTTAAATCTTATAGAATAGTTAAAATTATGTCTTGTGTATATTTTGATCTCGAAATCATATCTAGGTTTGTGGTATATACGTGTATACCCGATTTTGACAGTGATATTAGGCGAGGGAAGCAGTTTAAATTTAATCACATTACTTGTAATATAACTTAAAATAACTAAGGCCATACAAAAAATTAATTCAAAAAATAGTAAAAAAAAATTTATTTTACAGCTGATTGGGACACCTGGTAAAAAATTGGCATAATCATGTATATCTGAGATGTATAATTGGTAGTAGAATTATTGAATTACAGCATTGATATTTTTTATATGGTACGTATATTTGATTCAAAATGCTATATAGTACTATATCCGTAATGCAATTCTGAATGTGACGTATTAGTGCGCAGCAAAAATTCGGTTATGTTAGGGTTAGTGCTTTATACAAGGGCTAGAGAATAACAACAGTTTGTGTAATAAATTGCCCACCAAGAACTTTTTGTTAGAGCATTAAGGCGGTTTCTCAAGAAATAAGCGATTTTTGATGAAATGAACGTTTGTGTTGAATTTTTTTTAATCGTATAGTATTACATAGTTCATAAATCTGCACCATTTTAATAACAAGAATAACGTGGTTGACCAGCTTGCAGTGTTATTTATCATATTTTTTCCTAAAAGTTATTTTAAAATATAAGCTTATAATAGTTTGATGAAAGTACACAATACAGCAATACAGTAGGGCATTGATTATGGTATTTCTGCATAATGACATTCGATTTTTTTTACTACGCATTACGATCATAATTTTCAGTTTTTTTAAAAAAAATTTTTTAAATGGAGTTTTCTCGATAACTGCCAAGTCAAACTCAACGAAATTTTTTTTATTTCAATTTTACATACTTGTAGAATTGAAATAAAAAAATTTTTATTGAATTTAATCGTATAATCATTGAGAAACCTTTGAAAATATTAAAATATCAAAGGATCGTCACATGTTATTTACATGTAATTTTGACCAATCAAATTTCAAGATCAGAAGTAACGTCAAAACAATCAAATTTTGTTTTGATATTAACGTTAAAGTTAAAACAAAATTTAAATAATAAAATATTTGATCTATTTTATTATAATGGTAATTAGGAAGAGAACGGGCCGCTCTGAATCGTAGTCGTAAGAGACGCCTTAGTATACTTCCCGGTAAATTTTAGATAAGGTCTACTAATTCTGTATGAAGAATTGGTTACGTTCTTTCCTTGTCTAAGGATTTACACCTACCCTTCCTGGCGGTCAAACGTACATGTAGGCAAAATGCTTCTTAGCTGCGTCGAAACAACGAATTGAGGAAAACCAGGTTGCTAATATAATAGATCAAAAAAAATACTAATCTATCTTATTACAAATCCTTCCTGGTGGTCAACAGTTCAACGAATTGAGGAACCCAGGTTGTAATTGTAAAAAGAATAGATTGGTGACTCGCCGGTTTTCTCTTTTCAAAGCGAGGATAATATGCACTAGAAGAAAAGGGGGGTTTCTTTCTTGAACTAATAAGTTTCTTCCCAGAAAAAGAACTTAGCTGTATAGATATGCTCGCTGGTTTTCTCTTTTCAAAGCGAGGATAATGTGCACTAGAAGAAAAGAGGGGTTTCTTTCTTGAAATAATAAGTTTCTTCCCAGAAAAAGTAACCTGACTATATGGATACGCCTCTATGTGGCAGTCAGGACTAGTATGCATTGGCAGAAGCAAAGTATCCAATATTACGATTAGAATTTTACAGTTTTTTAAAATTCGAGTAAAGTTTTTTTTTTATCGAATTTGAAAGTTTGATTCAGAGCTGAAAACGACCTATTGAAATAGTGGCCATTTACTGCGCCATTATCTATTGTTTGAAGTATCTATTGTTTGAAGTATCTTTTTTTGATTAGTATTTAAACTACTAATTACTAAACGATAATCGTATTTTAAAACAATAAGATGTACAATATTACATATATACTCTGGAAAACTAAAAATTTTAAAATCCCACCCAAATCCCAAATATAATAAAATTGTCCCAAATACAATAAAAGCATCTATCTCCTTTAATATTAATGTTTACGAACTATCACATTTTCCAAAGTGAATTTAGGTTTTAATAGTTCTCAATACTTATAGATCGGTAGAAGTATTTGTTAGAATGTGGTAGATAGATTCATATATCCAATGGTTTGTAATTTATATCGTAAACAGTTTACAATAATAAAATATATAGTGCCTTTACCAAAAAAAAAAAAACTTAGAAATATTATTAGAGAAAATTTCAAATTAATGATGTAATGAATACATAATTTCTTTATAGTTTGATCTAATTATCCGGACCAAACACATTTTCTGGGTGCACTTTTCGGGATTTACTTATTTTTGCGAGTGATACAAACCAAAAAAGGAAATTCGATACAAAAATAAACTAAGTACGTGTCAATTGAAATTTAGGGTTAGGGTGTTAGAGTTCAGGGCTATAGTAATAGAATATTGCGTATTATATGTAAAATTTTATTCCCGACATTTTTAATTAGTGTATTAAGGTCGATTAAAACGAGTATTTTCGCTTTTTTGACTTTTTTCTTTTTTCGCACGTGTTCGGATTCCATGTCGGGCTGATCCGGGATAATCAAAATTTACGCTCTCCGATTGGCTAACTTCCCTTTTTGGGCTTGTATCACTCGCACAAATAAGTGCACGCCGCTTTTCGGACCGGATCCTTGAGTCGACTTCAGACAAAGTCCGAATGTAGGGGTCTGCATATCGATATCTTTTGTCCCGGGAATTAGTCATTTGATTGGCTAATTTATGCTGATCCATACATGATAATACGTATTAGTAAATCACGCAAACTTATTTAATTATTGCGCTTTGCAAAAAGGTGACCTTTGCGGATCATCGTGTAACGTAAAATCGCGGGAAATTGGATAGAAAATCAGAATTTTCGAAATTCTCCACTATCGTTATCGGATATCCTTATGTCCAGAAAATTCCGAGCTGCCGGCCAAAAGAATATGGGTCGTAGTATCTCAAAAATTCACTATATAACTAACATTAAAAATTGTATTCTATAAGTAAAATTTCATTCTGAAAACTTTTACTTAGAGGTCGGAAGTTAGTTATCATAGTAAATTTTTGTGTTATTTACGTTTTTTTTTTACAATTTCTTATGTTTTTCGCGTTTGTTTTGTTACACAAGATCCTGTGATTTTATTGGATCCGGATATGGTCGGAAGTGATCTTCAGCCCGGGATTTTCTGGACATAAGGGTACCCATCGTTATCACGAAAATCGTGGGGTCACACCTTTTGCAAACCGCTATAATAAAAACATGCATCGGATTTTAATCGATAATATCTGGTTGTGCCTAGGTTGATACAGTGTTCAGCTATTCCTAGCATCTAAAATAGTACTAGCGATATCATAAACAGCCAACTAAAATTCGATAAAATTTTCCTATTTTATTTTATGATCAATTAATAGTGCAAATTTGGTTGAATTTGTAGTTGTATATCATTAGTGCTATTTTAGATGCTAGAAATAGCTGGACACTCTAGGACACTCTAGGTTGATAATAACATCATTGTATGTACGTACGTATATACACCAAGTGGAAAATATTCGATCACTTAAGAACAAAAACTATTTATAGTTGTAAATTCTATAGGTGGTCGAATACTTCACTACAAACAATGTGAGTATTGCAGACTCGATAGACTCGGCTTTATATCCGAAATTAAATACAATCCGAGGAAATCAGATTTAAATCCGAAGGTCAAATTCGGTTCAAAACTCTACTCAAGGATCGACTCAAGGGTCGAATCCTGATCAAAGTCCCTATTTGAAGAGTCCGGACTTTTAACAGCACTAAAGATCATGTCAGGACATTGCGGACATGCCCCGGAATGTCTGTGTCCCTGTAAAATTGGTGGAACAATGTTCATTTACAACACTACATGAAAGAAAATTGTGTACTTCATTATATCCGTGTGCTTAGGTCCCAATATTAATGTTACTAGCCAGAATTTAAAAAATAATTTTTGACAAATTTTTATTATTTATGTTTCATGTGTCTCAACGAGTTAATTTCGACCAATTTCGACGAGAAAATGAATCTTGACGATTATTTATTATGTGATTCTTATGTTTCAACAAATACTAAATGAATTTCTTTAAGTCCTCGGTTTTCAAGTTACGTAGATATAGGTTTAGGCCTGATCTTCACAATGGTTCTCTGACCAATCATACACAAATATCAATTTATCGAAATATAATTAAAGAATAATTACAGAAGGCTTGGTATATGATTGGGATGTTAAAACCTCTCAAAATACCAAATTTTCAATGTGGTAATCAAAATGGTAAGCAATGTTCTTGATAATAAAAATAAAATGAAACATATATAAACGTTGTTACACTTGAAAAAATAATAATGAATTGGATATAAGTTATTTAGGTTATAACAAGTATAAATAAGATTAATTTGCAATATTAACAATATATATGTATACTTACTAGCATATGCGCGTGTCCATTCTTGAACAGTCTCCTCATAGAAGGCTTTGCTGGTCTTATACACTTCGGCGATTTCAGGCACAAGTGGATCATCTGTTCAAAATTTAAAATAAAGATGACATTCGAAATGAAATACAAATGTTTTAATATTATAATACTGTAATAGTGCGAAGTTTTTTATTGCACTATCTATCGCAAATAAAAACGATATGACTACCAATATATATCTAGATGAGAGACAGCGAACATTCTGCAAGCGCGTGCAACTTTTATAATAAAAGTAATTTATTATATGTACGTACCTACATCGGGACTACTCAAAAATGCGCAAATAGATAAAAGTACTGAAAACCAAAAATAAATAAATAAATAAATATAAAACATAGTAATTTAAAAAATTGTAACGTATAAGGAAGCATTCATTTACCTTTATCGATTGTAAGAGCAGGACTCCATTCCTTACTCAAAATGTTTAAACATATGAAACCATTATCATTAATGTTTGGATGGTAAACTTTAGTTGTGAAAGTTATCTATAAAAATTATAAGCCAATAAGTAAAATTGAACAGTAATGTATATTAATATACAACTATTATGATTAAATACGTACATTAGGCGGTCCAATTGGATAATTTGTCGGAAATCGAATCATAAGGAAAAATACACCACCAAAATATGGTGTATCAGGCTATATTAATTATAGGTAATTAAGAAATCTTATAATTAGCTTAAAAATTAATACTATATGGTATATTATGACGAGGAAAGTACTTACCGGCCCCATAATTATGCCTTGCCAAAGAAAAGGATCATCTCCAATAGGGCCGGCACTACAAAATTCTATTGGATCTCTCTTTAAATTATATAATTCCTAACATTTTAACAAATTATAAATTTTGTACAAGGTGTAGTTATAATGCATGAAACAGCGTGATATTTTACATTTGCAAGCTAGAAAATATTCGTAGCCTACTTTGTATATTCTGCTCTGTGCCATTTTGTATGTTTTTAAAAAAAAATCTTTAAAAGATTTTTGTTCCCTGGATTCAAAATTTAAGGCTAACTTGTGTAATGTATTGCCGCTATCACGGACAAGAAAGACCGTCATGGTTACACGAGACTTGAGAATTGTGGTAACAAAAAAAAAGAAATTTGAATAAACATTTGGATCTAACCTAATTTGAATCACTAACAAAAACATCAGGCAGTGACCGATTATTTATTAATACGTGTAATGAAAAGGTTTTTAACATAATAAATACTTTTGCTTGTTATATAATCAGAATTTATGGATATTTGATTCAGTGATAAAGAAAGCTATTCTTACAAATATGCATGAATAAATACTAATCAACTTCCCTGGTGCTTATTGAAGAATTATAATATTAAATTAAAAATGCACAACAATAACGCTAATTTTTCTGGTAAACATCATGCAATCTATGCTTTGAATTTTAAAAAATAATTGGTAATTTTGGCAGTTCCATCTGCCTTGTTTTTTGCTTTTGGCTTCTTTTTTAGCAATTTATCTTTCGAAGCGGATATATTAGCAGTCCTTGTTTGATTTTTCATCTCAATTGACTTTGGCTTCTGTACTATAAAATTAAGTGATCTCTTTCTAGAAATTGTGTCTAACAATGATGTTTGTAATTGCTTTGTACTTGAAGCTTGGTGATTTGATGGATTTTCACCGGAAGATGAAGGAGGAAGTGCACATAATCGCTTTAGATGACTTCCTTCGTTTAATAAACACTCGTCCTTCTCTAGATTATTTTTCACCGGACGCTTAGCTGGTACAATAGATGTTGATCCTTTTATATCGTCACCATCATCTTGTTTAACCATCTGCTTTGAGCTTGATATATTCGCATCTTTTGATTCATCATTTTTTATGGGAAAAAAGGTAGTTATATCGGCTCTTTTAACAGGATTTATTAAACTCGGATCGTCATTGCTTGCATTTACTACATCCTGTGGTACAGGATAACTAAAAATTATTGTCATTGAGAGCAATGAGCATTAAATTAAAATAAATACAATTTTTAATATATATATATAATTCATTAAATATAAAATATATAATTTACCATATTAATTCCCCATCATATGGTTCTAAAAGTTTCTCCAGCTCCAAGTCCCAATGAATATTAGAGTCCAACCATTTGGCCAAAGAATCCGATTCATTTTCCATGATTACAGGCATTCGTCCATTAATAAATGATAGGAATTTGGAGGATGAAGTCGTAATGATTGTATATGTATAAAGAGTATCACCATCTAAACAAAAAGTACGTATTACACTTATTTCTGAATGTAAGATTTAATATAGATCATTTTATATTAAACCTACATTCACATTGAACTTTATTATAAAGTCCCGCTAACAAAAGCAGCTGTTCATCCTTTCTCTTGATCAGATAAGGTGTTCTTTCACCTTTACGTTCACGTGACCATTTATAGAACCTAAAAAACATAACGTTATCTAATTAAAATTATTAATAATAAGTCTTAAATATGCGCACCCTTGAGTAATAACGATGCATCGTTTGTGATTCTTTAAATATTTGAATATTTGATTCCCTCCATTATTCAAAGAACTATATAACGAATCATTTCGGCAATTAATTGCTTGTATCGATGTAGTTGATTCAGATAGGACTAGTCCCCATTTCTAAATAAAGCAAATGAAGTAAATAATCAAATATATATATATCAATGATAAATATAGGCAATAAAAACTATATTTATACCATAGAATGAATAATATTCTCATGTAACCCAGAGTCAGCACGAATAACAGGTTCATAAAAAGTTGGTGAAACATTATACCTAATGACACACGTTACGCGCTAATTTAGTTACTTTAATATTTTAACATAAAAAAAATAACAATTGAAGCTTACGATGGTTTATACTTCTCCTTATCAACCCATTTCGTGCATTTTAGGTTTGAATTTTCCAAAGTTTGTTGAATCGTATCCGGATCCTATTTGATTATCTATTTGTAATTAACAATTCATCATATTATGACAAAAACATCAAGAAATGAGATTTTACCAAAGGCAACAAAGTTCTGTCACACATCTTTAAAACAAGGCGCGGTGATGCTCTTTGACAAAAGTTAACATTAAAAAAAAATAACAACACTATGCTTATATACAAATATGTAATGTTTATATGGTCGTAACTCGAATAATTTTTTCCCCGATAAACGATTTAAAATTGCTATTCACAACTCTTTATATAATCTGAATGTTACTTAACGTTAGACCATAATAATGTTATTGCTAAATAAAGGTAATCAAAGTTTACTGTTTATTATGTTTGTAGAAATGACTTTCTTGATAGCACAAAAGAAATTATTTTGAACAAATGAAATCCGATGCGCGAAATTAAATTGAATTAAATCAACTTTTGAACTAATAAAAAATAATACATCGATACAATCCATATAAGTAAAATTATCCTCTAGGATTATAATACAGTATTAGTTAAAAGTATCAGAACTGCTATATTTTAATATTAAAAATCTATTTCTTCTAGATTAAACAAATTTATAGAAAAAAGCTTTAGACAAAAACTATGTTTTCATTCGAGTTTTTATTTTTTTTAAAAAAAAATAAAATGCTTAAAGATTAATAGTAGCTGTCTTTAGAATTGGAGCTTTTCAAAGCTTATGTATTGACTTAATTTTTTTTTTTTTTTTTTTTTAACCTTAAGCAGTTACACTAGTACTTTATTAAGATTCTTGAAACTAAATACATATAATTACATAGAATTTTCCAATACTCAAGTCTAGCATCACTCGGCCACCCTATTGGTACCTAAGTGCAACCTGCCGCACTATCTCAGTTAGAGATAGACTGCTCATTTAACTACTTAAAGCCATACCAGAAAGGTCTTCTCCTTTCTGTAACAAGCATATTGATTGTCTTTAAAACTTCTTCCTTCATTCGGTTCATTTTTTCTACTTCCTTTTTGTTTTTTTTTTCCTTTATCATCTTATTCTTTTTTCCTCTTTTCTCTAATCCTCTTTTAATTTGAGCACCTTTCTTCATTTTGTTTGTTATATTAACTTTCTTTTCCTATTCTTGTACTTTCCCACATCAAACTCTTCATACTTGGTCAAAAAATGTGTTCCACACTGTTCTTGTAACTGTATCTATGCATTTTTGTGTTGCCTGGCTATTTAAAATCTGACTGATCTGCTTTTCAACTTTATTCGTTATTAGCCTTTTTATTAAAGCTGTCCTATTAGCAATTTCTTCTGCTTCTGTTTTTCCAAATAATGCCTCATATAGTACTAAAGGTGGGATTCTAACTTTTTCATTTTCTTTAAAGCTATTCCAAGCTGCTGCTGTTGCTACTTTTTGGATTCTCTTTCACAAACTTTTTTGTCCACTGCAGTTTGCTAGATGTGCTTGAGTTTTCTTTTCATCTTCTAGACATACTTGGCAATCAGTCATTTTATATATTTCTGGTCTTCTTCTATTTAATTCTTCTAATGTTGGTAGGCTATCTATTATGCACTTAATCACTGTTGCTTTTCTTGTGCTGAGTTTTCTTGATGTGCAATGAATACCTTTTGTTCTATTCATCTCTTTTCAAAAACTTGACCAATTATATTGAGTATTCTCTGTTTCTGGTTCTAGTACTCGAATTGGATTTGTTTCTCTCCAACTAACTCCAATTCTGATATTTGCAACTAATTTACAAAGAAGTCTTGTTGGTATATCAACTTTCCTGTTTTCCTATTCTAATTGGTATTCTATCTTGTTACATTTAATCTTTTCTGTAAATATTGTCCTTTCACATGTAACTCCTTTTTTTGCAAGTATATCTGCTCTATCATTCCACTTATCATTACTATGACTTTTAACT